ATTTTTCTTTGTATAACTTAAATATTATAAGTAAAATAAAAGATTCATAAAGATAAAAACTAGGATAAAAACTTTTATCTATTGATTCTTGTAGCTAATTTCAAGTGCCCAACTTAAGTATTAATTTTAGTTTATCAAGTAATCACTGTTATTTCTAATTATTTATTTATGAAAACAAACTTCATATTTACAAACTAAGCAAACAAGTTAGAAAGTATTATACATAATTCCTTGAAGCTGTTTTAAATATTTGATATTTACATTATTTCAACATTTTATTAAAATTCATTATATTATAATATAACATTGTGAATATATTAATTGGTATTCATGTTACTTATTAAACTTTATTTTTATCTAAAAGGATTATCACGATGTATAACGATTTATTTTTCATTTAATAAATAACTTGTAAAAACTAACTTGAATAAACAAAATACACAAATCAATAATAAAATATAAATGAAGAAAAATAATTGTATTACTCAGAAAAGATAAAGAAGAAAAATAATTGAATGAAAGATTGTAATACATTCAAATTAATGTTTAAATGAAAAAAACTAAAAAGATGTCATTGAATAAACACAAATAAAATCAAAGTTATTTCATCTAAAACATAAATAAATAATATATGACAAGTACTCAATGGTATAATTATTGAAAGAGTAGTTAAACAACAACATAAATATAAATAAAATGAATTATTCATATACCATTTAATAATCAAACTATATTGCATAACATTATTATTCAATAGTTATAATGGTATTAAAAACAAAATAATATACCTTATCATTAATAAAGATATTTAACAATATTCACACATATAAACAGAAGATAAATAACAATAAAAATGATATTTTATTTAAAAGATGTATATTATCTTAAAATCAAAATATATTGAATAAATTAAACTGATAATCATTATATTTCATTATTTAATTCTTAACTATTTAACAAATATTCATATTGAATATTATTCATTGAATTATTACCAATTTTATTTTTCTTACTTATAAATATTGTTGTTGGTTATTGGATAATATACAATACATTTTTTGGTAAGAATATTCAATATTTATAATTATATTATTAAACCTTTACTTCTATTAGCACTGCCATTTATTCAATATACATTATGCTATTTATTACTCTTATTTTACTTTATGTATTATATTTATTGTATCTTACTTTTGTGTATTTTTCTTATAATAGCATCACCTTCTCATTTTTTTATTTTAAACATCTCGCTCTCCTGCTATCAAATTCTTTTAAATTTATGATCATATTTATGTGATATTCCATGACTAGTCTGTCCATCATTTCCATGTCATATTTCAATTAAAAATACTCTTCATTTAAAGAGCTAAGAAAATATTCAATTAAAATGCTTTGCTACTCTGAAGAAACTTTTAAAGTTAATGATCCAGTAACACCATCTAAAATAAGACCTTGACCAATACAAGTCAACTTTGATTGTGTTCCAAAATCTGGTACAGAAAATACTTTTCCTGATATATGAGTGAAACTTTTTTTTCTAATATCTTCTTGAGAGAGACAATAAGTGAGGTCAAGTCCCTTATAAGACCAACGTTCTGATGGTTTTACTTTTAATATAACATCAAACGAGCAAAAATGAAATATTTTTTGACAACCAGGTTTGACAATAATTTTAACACGAACTTTTTTTAAAGGAGATTTTTGCACCAAAATTTCTTTTGTACTTCCATGATAATATTCCTTTAAAGAAATTGGAACAATTATTTTTTTTCTTTTTTTTAACTCTATTTTATCTTTTAAACATTTAATATAATCAATCAAAAAATATAATTCTTCTCTTTGTTTTTCATCTAGAGCATTGTAATTTTCTATAAATTTTTTTTTAATATTATAACTTATTATGTCATCAACTCTTTCATTTTCTGTTTTTTTTTCATTAAAACTTTCAATACTTTTATTTAGATTTATTATTACTGTTTCTGAACTCTTAATAAATTCGTTTTCAATATCATTACCATCATAAATTGAAATTAAATTAAAATAATATAAAGTCTTCTTACATTGAACTAACTCTGTATCCATTAAAGATTAAGGTGAATATTTCTTTTTTAGTTCTAATAATCCTTTTTGAAGTATTAAATGATGTTTATTTTATTAGACTATAAGTATTTTTCATTTCAAAATAATAAATTTTTATTCATAAAAAAGAAAATTTCATTCAAATAGCTTTTTTGCAACATTAAACTAAAAAATTTGAAAATTAATATAAATTAGAATAAAACTAAAAATCTAAAAATTAGATATTTATTTAAATGAAAGTTCTTAATTTTTTACTTATTTAAAAAAAAATTACTACGTGTTAAATAAAACAATAGAATAAATGAATTAGTATTATCTATGATTATGAAATGATACTTCAGTAAGGATCTTCTTGGATAGTAGCAGATTTTCTTCTTCTTAATTTACTAAAAAGACCATCTGAAGAAAAGGAAATAAGTGTAGGTTCTGATTCTTTATCAATAGAATCTGGTCTTTTCTTATCTTTCTTTTGTGCTTTTTCTTCTGTTAATTTAGGAGAAGATAAGAGTAGAGGAACTTGTTCACTCTCAACGTGTCCAGTAGTATATGTTCTAAAAACTTCTTTTGGTTGTTCTCCATTTAAGAGAGCTTGAAGTAATGTTATTTTTTCAGTTAATTCAACATATAACCTATCTAATTGGCTAACTTGTTGTTCTTCAGAAGACGTTAAATGTTTGTGATTGGAAATAAGTGTTTTGAATTGAATTTTAAGTTCATTTGCATGTTTAAGTAATACTTCGGCTGATTGTCGATGAACATTTTCCTTTAAGTTTACCATGGCATCATCAATCATTAATATACATTCTGATACTTTTTCTACATAATTCTCTAATATATTTCCATCTTTATGGATATATTCTAAATCTGTAAGTTCAGGCAAGTGGAATTGCACTCCTGTTTTTTTATATTTCATATACATTTCAGTGTACACTTTAAATTCTTGTGGGAAGAGAATACCCCAAGCTTGAACAATTCTCATGGCTTTATCAGTAACGATTTTGACTTGTTTTTTCTTCTTACAACGCTACAAATAAATATCTTCTAATAATTGATAAGATGAAATTGATGAGATTGAATCTTAAAAATTGAATCTTCAAATATAGAAATTTCTATTTTTCATTATACTTTGAAACAAAATAGAACTAAAACAATGACCTCATCACTACGTATCACTACGTTGAAGTGAAAGGACAATGTAAAAACATTTGAGAATGAGATAAAAATAAAAACAAACGTCAAATTCAGCGATACATTCAAACCATTGGACTAGCTCAATGTGAACCATTTGTTTTCTGAAATTAGAATTTCTTTTAACCGCATAGTCCATGAAACATAAACAATAATACATTTCTAAACTTGGAAGAAATTTGTTATGATATGCTTTCATTTTGTTAATAATTTGTATTCTTAAAGGAATACATGCCTGTGGAACATTTGTCATAATTCTAACAATAGTATCATATCCTTTAATGCAAGGAGAGGCATGTAGTTCATTAACTGCATGATCAAAAACTTGACTAAGTGGCACGGTTTGTTTTGACATTTAAAAATAAAATTTGAAGTTCTCTTAGAATAACATTTTTTGAAGATTATTTCTCTGAGAAGAATTATAATTACAAAATAAATAACTAAAAAGAATTACTGGAGAAAATAAAACAAAATAAAGACACAATGGATGTAGAAGTATTCACTCTAATATCAACAAAAAAAAATGAAACGTAAAAACTCAATAAGAAGATTTCATTTATTCAAGCTACGAATATAATTCAATAACACACTGCAAGTAATTCATAAAAACATGAAATACTCAATATTTAACACAAGAAATTCTGATAACATATTAAAAGAGGAATATTCCTAATGTCAATGTCTTTGAAAGAGATTCTATAACAGAGATAATAGACATTGAAAAAATAAACTACGACAATTATTTTTCAATAAACATAAATTCCAATTGTAGACATATCTAAGAACGAACGTTTTTTGAGAAGAGTTAATTTCTGTTAAAAAATAACATTCATACAAAATAGAAACATCAAATTAATAAAAAGAAAAAACTATAACCGAATTAATAACAAAATATCTGAAATAATCTCTGTTAAAATGAATCTATCATATCATAATTGTATTATACGAAAGAAGATTTCTAGAATAAGATGTTTGTATAAAAGACGAAGTAGTGAAACATACAATAAGTAATAAAGAAAGAGTAAGAAAAAAGGAAATAAGAAAGAAAAAATAAAAAGTAATTAATTAAGTATAATTAGAACTAGCTTCTATTCTTCCTGGCTCAG